CGTTGCTTCTATAGATATTAGACGTGCACGACTAGTTTGATGGTATTTCTGTAAATGAGGAACATACAAAGAGTCAAACAGCCATCTGCAGATGTTTCGTTTGTGCGATCAAACGAAATAAGTATAATGCCAACATTTATTATTTCTGTTTTCATAATCATTTTCCCCCAAATGTTATGTGAGATATAATTTAATCGGAATGGTTGCACCTGCATACTCACTCCTCCCAACTGTCCTATTCCCAATATCTGACCCCCTCCCCATAGCTGACCCCCTCTCCCAGCAATCAGACGCGTACCTCAGTCAAATAACACTGTTTACACCCACTAGAGCGAAGCAGGGATATTAGCTTAATGACTTCGGCGTCTACGAAATGGTTCTCAACAACTGCTGGCGAAAAGAACGCATGTTATTTAACATTATAATGACAAAAATTATTCTCTAAATTTGCATTATATATTTCTTTGCACCAATTTGCTCGCGATAAAAAAAACTGTCTTTGTTAAAAGTGCCAATGATTTGATATTTTTTTCAAGATAGAAATTGCAATTTTCGAAATATAAGACTATTATCTGTAATAAATATACATATTTACAAGTGATAATTATTTCAATTAGTCTCATTAAAACGTTTGATCTTGCCATTTCGAGACAACAAAGCGCATATCACCATTTGACCACTTAAATTGAAACTAATTAACCCTTTACCAAAAGTCATTTATATCATATAGATACCAAAATAAGTGTTTAAGCAGTACTGTATAACCAAACATTTAAATAAAAAAATTCAAAATCAATATCCACAATAGAGAAACTAAACGAGTTCCAAATTCTTAAATTGCCAACGTGTAACACCTATATATATAACCCATGACGGAGCTGTTATGTTGAGTTGCAGAACCTGCATCCGTCCTCTAGAATGAAATCATCGATTGAATACAAGTTTAAATGAAACTATAAACGTGGGGTATATGACCTCATCCCTCCTCTACCGCGGAAACTGTCCCTCCGATACAGCGTTGTTGCTGCTGAATGTTGCGTTTATATTCAACGATTGCTGATTATTCTAGGGCAATATTGAGACGAGACTGGGTGATCTGCCTCGGTCGCTATCAAAACCCCCTTTTAAATGCTCTTATTCAAATATTTAAGCGAAAACTGTCTGGGTAAAACACTTAATGTTTTCCTCGAGATGGTTTAGGGACCCTAAGTGGTCTCTCGGCGTTAACTGTGGCCCTTGTAGATACCTAGAGCTATTGACGGTTTGAGCAGAAAATGTGACAAAGGTAGAGGAAGTTTGTGCGTTTTGCTTCTCATTCTGACCGAGACGTAATTTTCGGCAGTAGGTTTGTGGTGTTAATGGTACAGTTAAGGTTCGCGAACCGCCGGGATATGTACAAACTACATCTTCACATGGATCCTCCTGGATTATCCTTGAATTGTGTTATCATAATGCTCATTTCGATAATGGTTTGTTTCAGAACTTTGTTTTCGAGATACATTGTTGGCAATTGAACTGTCTTTGTCGCGACAGTCACTTTGCATGTGTTACTCAACATGTGTAATACCAAGCGGCCTGTACAGTCTGGCGTTCTTTAACTTCGCTTGAATAACAATACACCATACAGCTGGAAAATTGCTAAGTGGTAAACAATAAACAAACACAATTTGAACATACATAACTCTATTGTTGTGTAAAGATGAAGAGTGAGTGAGTTTAGTTTTTGGTAGTGGTGTGTTCCGATTAATGATTGAAATAATCGAAGATTGGTCGCATGTGTTGGCCAAACGACCAAGCAATCGCAATCGATCACATTTTCTCATAATCGAACACAAACGATTTTGGAACCGCTGTAATAGAGTTTGAAATACTTGATGATGGAACATATCTAGGACGTTGTCAGGGCCTGAAAACGTGTTTATTTCTAAGAAAACTCACTTAACTTTCTGAAAAGTCATGACTGAATATTTCTTGAAGAATCTGGGAAGTTAATGTTACACTGGAACTGAATCATTTTACACTGGATGTGAAATCTGCAAATGTAATTTGTGCAGTTTCTAAAAAAAACAACAGAGAACCAAATGTTTTTTTCTTTATACTTATCTGCAACTACAACCTGAATAGGAAAATCTAAAAAATGACGCTAACCAATTTTTTTTCGATGATTGGTCGTTGGTATTGAACCAATCATCAATTGTGAGATTTCAACCCCTCAACATGGTGACTTAAACCTAACGTTGCATCGGCATTACTTCAAGGGGTAAAACGAATAGTTATATGTTGAAAGTTGATATGAAAACTGATGGGCAAAAGAAATTATCTTTTGAAAATTGGAATTGACCAAACATTATCGAAACGTAACTGAGCTGAAAATAAGCAAACTGAAGGGGCAAACTCAACTCTCATACTTGCTGCAATTACATTATCATCAACTAAACATTTCATGTTTGTTTTATACTAAACCGCTATCATTCCAACAATGCTGAGTGGTTCAATGTTGGAGTGGTTCGTCCATATACGATTGGGTCAACAATATACGGATGGTTCATCAGTGAAGGAGTTATTTATTAATATACGAGTGGTTCATCAATGTGGGAGTGGTTCATCAAGTGTACGAGTGGTTCATCAGTGTACGAGTGGTTCATCAGTGTACGAGTGGTTCATCAGTGTACGAATGGTTCATCAGTGTACGAGTGGTTCATCAATGTACGAGTGGTTCATCAGTGTACGAGTGGTTCATCAATGTGGGAGTGGTTCATCAGTGTACGAGTGGTTCATCAGTGTGGAGTGGTTCATCTATGTGGGAGGGGTGGGGTGGGGTCATTAGCCTAATGGTAAAGTGTTGGTCACGTGGTTGAATCTATTTCTGAGGGGTCCCGGGGGTGGGGGTGTTAGCCTAATGGTTAAAGTGTTGGCACGTGACAATGTGTGAAGCCCATTTCTGATGTCACCCGCTGTGATGTTGCTGAAATATTGCTAAAAGCGGCGTAAAACCAAACTCAGTCTGTCATTAACGTGGGAGTGGTTCATCTGTGTACGATTGGTTCATCAACATACAAGTGGTTCATCTGTGTACGATTAGTTCATCAACATACGAGTGGTTCTTCAATCTGGGAGTGGTCCATCAATGTAGGAGTGGTTCATCAGTGTACGAGTGGTTCATCAACATACCAGCGGTTCATCAATGTAGGAGTGCTTCATCAACATAGAAGTAGATAATCAATATACGGGTGTTTTATCAACTTATAAGTAGATCATCTATATACGAGTGGTTCATCAATATCCCGGATGGGTCAACAATACGGGTGTTTCGTTAACGTCAATGTACGGTGTGGTTTATCTATATATGGATGGCTTATCTATATACCGGGTGGTTCATCAAGTTGCAGGATAGCTTATCAATGTGCAAGTGTTTCCTCAATGTGTCGATGGGACCCGTGAAGATCCGGGTCAGAATCGGTGTTCAGTAGCCCATGCTTGTCATAAGAGGCGACTAACAGGATTGGGTGATCAGGCTCGCTGACTTGGTTGACACATGTCATCGTATCCCAATTGCGTAGCACGATGCTCATGCTGTTGATCACTTTAGCTGGAATATTGCTGAGTGTGGCGTTAAACAACAAACAATGGGCTTCAGGGCTGATGGTTCATCAGTACAGGGGATTCATCAAGAGACGGGGATGGTTCACTAACATATACGATTAGTTCATTAATATATGTTGGTGTTTGATTAATACACTGTGCCCGTTTTCGCAAAGTGGTCGTAGCGCTAAGGTGATCGCAACTCCCATACTTTAACACAGACTTATGACTGTCCTAGCGCTTTGTTTCTTTCGTGTAGATGATGGTACGTCAATGTTCGGGTGGGTAATCTGTGTATGGGATGATTTACCAGTGTACGCAATGAATCACTAATCACTGTACGGCCATGAACGAGCAATCTGGTTCACGAACACGTCATCATTTTTTCAAACTGTGTTGGATGCATCGATTAAAAGTGAAAATGCACGGTGCTCGTTGTGTAAGGCAATATTAACAAATTTTAACGAATGTCATAAGTAAAGATGACCAAACTTAATAATTCGATTTGTTTACGAAGAGTTCCTTAGCAACGACATACTATCTATAACAATGAATTTAGCAATCCTTATTTGAGCAATAATGGCAAATGGCAAAGCTGTAGCAAATCTAAAACTGGTAAATATATTCAAGATCTCTATACCCGTCAAATAAAACGCTCCAATCATTCGGCCGATTACCACTGATAACCAGTGTGTGTAAGTACTCTGTTTAAGCAACAAAATACAACTTGTTCGGTTATCGATCCCCCTATGGCCGGACGAAAACACGAGGCCCCGGGGTACGCTCTTATCGATGACCGGAAACAAAATCGATACAAAAAATAACAGATCGAATCGCGAGTAATTATAAAAGGATATTTATTGACCTCCAAGTCTACACAGGGTGTGGTGATAGCTGACGATGGTGTGCATTATCAGAAACAACAATACGAGTGTCATGTTGCGCTTGACTGGAATCCAGCACGTGAACATTGGAATGAAATACAACAGTTGCTTACAGTCATGGGGAACATATATTGACAATCACAATAAATCAGTATTGTGCTGTACGTTTAGAGTTCATCTACGGTGAAGCTATTCCAATCATTGAGACGCAATCATTAAAACTTTGATTTGTAATTGACCGAATCAGTCGCCTCAATGCCTTCGTACTTTAAGTTGGGAATTCATAGATTTGAACCCGATTAATCAATGAGTAGAAAGGAAGAACGTCTGAGTACATTCAGGATCGCTTTACAAATGTTCTTCTAGCTGTGCTTCATGTGCAGCTAGAGTAAAATATTGTACAGTTTGCACTTTTGAATTAATAATCAGAGGTTACAGACAATCAAGAATTTCAAATTACTTTAACTAGTCTCTCACACAACGACAGATGCTCTAGTAATATGAAACAAATGTGTTGTCCTTAACTTTTTGTCATTTTGCACGTTTGACTTAATACTCAAAGAGGTTACAGACAATCAAGTATTTCAAATTACTTTAACTAGCCTCTCACACAACGACTGACGCTACAGTAATATGAAACAAATGTGTTGTCCTTAACTATTTGAGTAGTATATATTGCGTTGTTACGTGTTCGTAAGTGGGGAGCGTATTTTACGCCGTTGAGTAGTACTTTAATGAGAATGCGTTATTTAGAAGAAAGCATGTCGCATTTGGATTTGAGTTTAACGCCAATCCGTTTATTTCATCCATATTCTGGTGGGGAAATGTCTATGTGGAATCGAACCAGAGTTTGGTGTGTCTGTGCCATCACCACAGGACTACCCCGCCTCCTCCTCAAATACGGTTATCATGCTCCTGATTGTCTGCAATAAACGTTAAGACTTAAACTGCACCCTTAAGTGATAATAATAGTGATAATACATTCACAACACCATAATAATAACTGGCACCAATACGACCAAGAGATGTGATAGTGTTCAAAGTCTTTGTAATACCTCTCGACATAATAATGACATAAGAACGCTGTTGTACACGACGTCTTGGAAAGTAGCAAGTCCACGTCACACAGCGTTAAGTTCGCAGTCATATGTGCAGTGAAATGAGCTTGCTTGCACCAATCTCGACCATATGGAAAAACGTATGTTTCAGATGTGAAATATCGTTGTTTACCCTTATCAAAGCCGGGCAAGGTCAGGGTCACTGGGCCGTCACCGCCACCACGTCATAACAAGGCAACACCGGGACATGGTCCAAGTTCATTTCTGTCGTTTCTTCAACTTTAATTGTCTTTTCTTCTTCAGGTGACGAAAGATTTAACACTTTTGGATCTGACTCACAATTTGAAGCTGAACTGTCTAAATTTTGCACACGGCCATCAACGACATCGGATGCCGACAATGAGTCTGATTCTGTCTTGGTCAAACGGTCGCCATCTTGAATTTCATCTCCGATGCTTTCGTCTTTATCCGTAACCTTCTTACATTTCATGTTCTTCAACAAGTTTTTCTCCGCGTTCAGTTTATGTTCAGCCGCCTCGGCACTCGATATATTTTCCTGTTTCTTCCATTTTGTTCTTCTGTTCTGGAACCAAATCTTCACCTGAAGAGAAAGAAATGTTTGGTTAGAAGGTCTCTCACAGTTTTCCAAACACTGCGAAGATGGGGGAAAACACTCCTTAGAGCTCAAACACCCAACAAATGATATCTTTTAACACCGAATTAACAAAACAGGTTTCTTTTCCTAAGTACGTCAACATGGCATTGACACCAAACGTGAAAAGCTATTAGCACGCCATCAGCATTGAGAAAACCTAAACAGCAGATGGCTGCCATACTGTTTTGCAAACGCTACTAATTGCCCCGTCCTTCAGAGATTTAGGAAACACATCGCGGCCGAACATAACCCATGTATCTGTGGTAGCGACTTGAAACATATTTAAGTACGTTATTTGACTCGAGGTAAGACGCTGTTGTATGTTTAAATACCACGAAACCCGATACAAAAATAACTCGAAAGCAGACAGGACAACAGTTTGTGTGAGTGAATATACTGTCACGCCGCATAATCCCAGCCATATCATAGCGGGAGGTGTCGCGTGGGTTCACATAAAACAGTACCCATCAAACCCGAGTATTTTGCGTTACAAGAAAACGCTTTACCATCTAAAACCCCCAGTTTCCTCGCCAACAAAGAACAGACACGAAAATCATTGTTTCTAATTTAACAGCTTGTAATCCTTAATTAAGATATCATTTCTCAATTATATATTGCTTGTAATCCTTACTTTAGATAGCATTTCGTTTATTACGATGTTAGTGTGCTAATTTAAAGTAGTCATATAGCCCAGGATCGAATAGTAATCTTATCGGACCGTGTATACCCGAAATTTATTGCTGTAAATTACGAGCAATTAATGTTTAATGATGTCAAACTGTCCAGAGGTATTTACAGCGGTGACATAACTGACATGAACGCTGGCAATACCCTTAAGATAACGTGATTAATTAATTATTTAATTGCGCTTTGTTTTATGTGCAGTAGCCATGGAATACACAATGGTACAGTATTATGGTCGCTGTCATTCTGGAGCAATGTTTGGATATGGGAACATAGTCTTCTGTATCCTTCAGCGATACTTTACTGGGTCATATACATGTATGTTTTAAAGACAAGCCTGTGACTCTGCCTCAAAAGTTTATTGATTCAATATTCAGTGCCTTGGTAGGCTTTCAAAACGTTTAGTGTTTGACAAATTGTCCCCGTCAGTGATCAAAGTGATTTCCGATGCAATTCCCTATTTTGTACCAAATGTTCCCGTGTTTTAGAAGGCGAATAATTGCCTTGTCTTTGCATGCGTTTGTGAATCGGAATCGGTACAGTGCACTCTGCCTATAGCTATAGCAGTCGGATTTAGGAGGTTTCGCTACATTTATTAACCACAAGTCATGACAAAAATGTTCTGCAAGTCATCTGTCGTATTTTTCAACAATTTCCCTCAGGCGATCTTTTCAAAACTGGGGGTTATATGGCTTTGTCTGAAATTGTAATGGGAGGGTTAGACGATATGAGGGACGGGAAATAACGGGGTTCATCGGTCGTTGACCAATTTCAAGATCTTGATTTATGTTCTTATTGCACATGTTTATGTGACACAAAATGTACAGCTAAATATAATTAAGAAAAGTCAACGAATCTACATTTCCTATATCAAAATAAATATTTGTCACTTAAGTGGGTAGTGTTTGGACTATTTTGCAGTGAATAACAAAGATGCGATTAAATTGGTCCGGTTTCAATAGAATCGCATCACTCAGGGAGCTGTTCTGAGTTAAGATAATCATGACAGTGCAATGTTTTGCTTAACTGTTTGTGTCATAGACAAAGCCCCCAATCGTTCGTTTATTTCCTCATTAAACCGTCGTAAGATTAGCCTAATTAATCTCAATGGAGATGTCGCTGTAAGGAGCCACGTGGATTTATTGTGGCATTTGACAATGACTGGTCCCGCGAGACCACGTGACACCGGTCCCGCAGTGCCTATCCATCTGCTGGCTAAGTGTCAAAGCTTGACTCTCTGATCTAAAATGTTTTATCCAATTGATAATCGCTGAACGCGTGTCGAAATATGAGCCGCGGGCGCTTTATTCAATAATCATTAATCTCTTTCATTGTTTACGCGATGGCGAAAAAATAATTCTAATTAATGTTTTTGTTCTGGACAATTCGGAAAAATATTAATATGGCAAAACCTATTTGTTGAAAATCAACAAATCTGCCTGCGTTTCTAACACGATTCACAGAATTGATGTTAACGTATTCATTAAAATAAGATAGACTTAGAACTAAGATTTGGAACATTCTTTACATGTAAGCTGTTGCAGCATTCTATTATGTCTGATGGTCTCTATCAATTGTGTAAACTTTAAACGTAATGGATTTAATTGGTTATAACCTTTAGTACTGACAAAGTGAAAACCATTTGAATATTGACTTTCGTAAACTTGTTTGAATGATCTTATGATAGTTGATGCAACACAGGTGTTAAAAATAAAGGTGTAATCAAGCATCTAATTCGTTTTTCATACCTGTGTTTCTGTAACATTCAGTAACGTTGCCATTTCTGCTCTTTCGGCTGAGGATAAGTACTTCTTCTGCTCAAACTGCTTCTCTAGCTCAAATATCTGGCGTCCTGTGAATGTCGTCCTCGCTTTCTTCTTCTTCTGAGGTTGTCCGCTGTCTTTGTCGTCGCTTTCATCGCCGGATTTCTTCCTCTTTTCGCTCTGAGAACCATCGCCTGGAACACAGAATCAACGTGCAAACTTATAGTACAATATACAAAGTTGTATCCATATTGCCTGGTGCCATATGGAAAGGAGGAGGTCGTCAATTAAGTTATTACTTTGGTACACTTCAAGTGTTCTTTTACATGTACTAGTAGTATTTATAATACATCGGGGCGGTGGGGTAGCCTAGTGGTTAAAGCGTTGGCTCGTCACGCCGAAGACCCGGGTTCGATTCCCCACATGGGCACAATGTGTTAAGCCCATTTCTGGTGTCCCCCCGCCGTGATATTGCTGGAATATTGCTAAAAGCGGCGTAAAACCAAACTCAGTCAGTCAGTCAGTATAATACATCGATATCCATTCCGCCGGAATAGTAATACTTGTACCTACTCTCACACTATTTTCATCAAATATTAAAGTTTTTTACGCTTGAAAAGGGCAACGAGTGTTCTGAAGTGGTCATGTGACACAAGTGTTATATTTAAGATTACACTTCATTAGCAGAATACCAGAATGTGTACCTTTCGAAAGAAAACCCCAACCCTGTTTGCAACAATTGTTTGCCACGCGTCTCGTTGTCAACATGTGAGGGCAAATTGTTTCAAAAATAAAAGCAAACATCATCTGAAATTTAATGCGGAAACACTGTTTGAAATGCTGGAGTTCCATTGTACCGCCTATACAACAATGAGAGATTTGGGAGCAAAACGTTTACACAAGAGGCATCCCTAAGAACACTGACAGTGCTTCCGTTCTTGTCTTATATATGTTTCTTTAATACATATAAATCGGTATTTTTGCTAGAATTGGTAAATTAAAAAACAAAGTAATTTGGCCAAGAAGTTTAACTTCGGGAATATCGCTGACAGGATACCGTTCAAAAACCAATGAATAGCCAATTACCTTCAACTCATTTACCCACCTGAACTAAAAATATAGGAGACAAGTGTGACCGCATCATGTGTGTCATATTGCTATCTATAAAGATTAAGAGATTTGAATGAAGACTTCAACTTTCAGGTTGTCGACTTAAAGCTTTATGTCAAGCAGCTTCTGGTTCTTGTCGTCCATATTTCACAACTTTGATATACAGACGTTCATATGATTCTTGCTAAAATGTTCTTTGATCCAAATGTTATTTCAAAGGGTTTAACGCTCAAAGTATGAGAACATTGGCCTACTTCGACGCATCAGTGTCAATGATGTCAGATTGTCAAATGCCATCGACTTAGCTTTTGCGGGTATTATTGTACCTGTGGAAATGGTATTATTCAATTATTTCCATCTTTGTTTTAAAATGAATCCATTAAATTCATTCTCAACATTTGAAAAATATAAATGAGTAAAGAAACAAGTATATATAAGAACATGTTCCCGGGAGATGTGGAATGTGACACACTTAACACTGGGCGCAAGTGCAGTTACAACTGGTTAACAATTATTCTCTTTAACTCCAGTTTTTGTTGTGCGGACGGTTTCTAGTTTGCTGTGATAATATTGACATAATGTTGTGTTAGAAGTTAGATGACAAATGACGGAAAAAAGCTCTATTGACTATCGACAGCTTCTTGCATTGACACACCAAATAGCATGTTATCACATGTCATTGTGGAGACACTGTTTAAGTAATATGAGTAATGAAATATGTTAATATTTATTTTAAGTGATAAAAAAACCTTATGAAAATATTTTCTCTCTGTCGGGGACATTATTTATGAGTATACATAACGCAAACAAACTCCCGCCACGCGTCCTGGTAGTTCACACCCAATCATGCCTTTTATAAAAAGTATTTAATGTGTGCATTAAAGCATATTCGAATACGTTGACAGTGAGGACCAATAACGAAGTCTCAAAATATGTTTTTCAAAAGTAAATTTTACATTAAATATTGTTTTAGTTGAGTTGATAATATTTGAAACTAAATCATCCGATGACACGCTGCGATGGGTATTTTTTGTCAGAAACATAATTGATGTTTGTCAAATGCAAAGAGCAGAGAACAAATACTAGAAAAACACACGTTTGTTTTTAAAAAAGAAGTAAACCACGTAGTAAAGAAAACAAATATTTCAGAAAGAAATAGTTCAATCAGGTACGATATTGATCAACAAAGTTTCTTTTTTACAAATGCGTTTCTTACAAAACGGTATCGCGTCGAAGATTTACTAATTGTTAACAGTTTCTATATGATTGTGTACATATCATATGCACCGAAATGTTGGCTAAACAACACAATGAGATGCTTCTCTTCTTCGTAGAAAGACAGAGTTTCAATTGACAGATTCCACAAAGCGTAGAGACAATAAATGACCATCCCTAAGTCACTCGCCATATAAACTCTAATGATTTCACTCATAGACCCACATCACTATTGTGTCGCGGGTGAGATGATTGTCAACAGACAAATGACGTAGTACCAAGGACAAAGACCATCAGACAATCAGTGTCACTACGATAAACGAGGCTTGTGGATAGCAATTAACAACAATTAACGCCATCCTTTTCTCTCTCGATCGCCTAATCATTACTTCGGGTCGAGGATGCCAGAGGGCAGAACAGAAAAAAGATAAAGGCTTTGAAAGACCAGGAGGGGAAAAGGATTTTTCTTCTCCCAGCGTCATCGCAATAAATGTGTCACCTTTAGCATATCGTTGTATAATTGTTCAGGGATAGACGATGAATTACAACTGACACACTAATGCGATTGATGTTGTCATATGATCATTGGCCGAGTAATCCGAGGGAAATGACAATTAACTCCGGGGCTTACTAGGGTTAAGTGACGTCGAGGCTAATACACATCTGTAATAAACAACAGTAAGTGCTGTTAAGTGCCCAGAGTGGGGCACGACCGGGCTCTTTCAGTTCAGCCCGAATCCCTCAGACCATCGCATAATGGACAACTAAGTTATATTTTCTACACGTATTATGGTTTTTATCAATAGCGGAGACAGCAACACGAAAGATGTACTGGGTTTTCAAGTACAGTATGTATTTCCATTCCTCAGTGTAATGATTTAAAATGAGTCCAAAATTGACTTTCAGTTTGGTAATTCTCAAATTAAATGTTAGAAAATACATGAAGTCACTTCAATCGTAATTACGTTTCTTAGGCAAACACTTGGACAAATATCCTTTGAATGGAATACAGTGTTTGCACCTATAGCATAACCTGGCATAGCCACCTAATTACTATGCAAAAATGCACACAGCGCATATAAAACATAGGTTAGACAAACACCCCCTCCATCCCCACCTTCAGCTAAGTTATGTCACATACCTGCAACATATACCCATTATTCTTGGTTTGATGGTACACATATAAAACATACCTTTCTCCGTATGTTAATGTTAAAGTACCAGTATATATATTCACAAGCTTACCAAGCACAATATAATGGGGAAATGTTTTACTGACTGATATGAAAGACGTTACTGATATGCATAATGTGTAATCTGAACAGGCCGATCGAGTCAGTAAAACCATAGTTGCTCTCTGATTGCAAAAATACTTTGAAAAATCAGATAGTATGTTTTTCTACGTGAACAATAAAATATACCCTTGCTAACAAAGCTAAGTATCGTCTACTTACGGAGATCTAATGACCAAGTGATTATTCACTCATGGTATTTATATTTGATTTGTACCATTATGTGATGAAAATACCACGATTTTACTCAGCTCTCTTAACTCGGCACACAGAGTGAAAGCTAAAAATGTTGATAAACACAAAACCCTTTTTTGTCAAGTCGACACTTCAGATTACAAATTAAATCCAACTTGTATGAGTCATTGTAGAGCACGTCTTGCGTTTGAAAAAACATATGTAATAAACAACTTGTTGTTATCAGTGTAATTCCCACCCCTTGTCTAAATCGCTGATTAACCTTATTTTGGATATGGTTTAGAGATAACATGCGCCGCTTGTTTATTTATTACACGCACGTGGTCACGAATAATGTCAATTTATGCATGTGACACTTGCAGTTAACTGGCAACTCGCGACTCAAGTGGTGCCTATTTCACAGCACGCACCTGTTGTTGCGTAACATACACGTAATTATCAAATTAATTGAATGCAACGATATTAAGAAAAACCGAGAAAACGATGTAGAACTAGGATTAATTATAGGATGTTTATCAAATACTTATTTTGTTTGTTTTTAATTCAAGTACAGAACAGTTAATTTGTGATTAAATTGAATTTATGTTTCATGAAAGTGGATTCCGTTTTTTGCCAAAGGAGCATCCATTCCACATAACTGAACTAGTTGAAAATAACGAGAATTTAACCCGTCTCGATGACTGGCAAATACCATTATTCAATAAAAATAAACATTACATAGCTATCACGTTCCGGTGATAGTGTTATCGAACAACGTGACGTGATTCCCAATCCTTAATGCGCCTGTTGCCATTAAAAATATATAAAACAAATAATATCATCGACATTTACATTAAATCTGTGCTGAATACTATACATAATCAATTGAAACACTTACCTGTTTTCGGGGAACTTGACGAAAGACGGTCACTCATGTCCCCACGGTGACGACTCTCTTCATCTTCACTGTCAGGGGTGCGGTTCAGGGTGGGGCTGATGCGGTGCCTGGACAGCTGGTCGAGGGGTGAGGCTGGAGACAGACCCCCAGGGCTGGTAGAACACATGCTCCCCCTCTCCTCCCTCAGACCCAGGATATCTGCTATGAAGAAAGACGTAGGCTGCCTGGGTGGTTTCTCGTAGATGTGGGGGTGCCAAGTCCTGGGGGTGGTATACAACTTATTACCGTTGAATATTACCGGGTAAGACGCTAGCGCCTGTGGTTCCATAGTGCAATACATTATGAAGTCCCTTCACAGATCACACCCGAATGAAATCTAGTCCAACACAAATCACGAGGTTTCAAAGTCTTTAAGAGGTCCTCCGGTTCTCAAATTCCGGTAAGCACTTCGAGTTAATTACTGCAATGTCACTTGAACATGTTCCAAGTCCGTACGAAACCTGCACCCTTCTCAGGTAAGTTTTAAAAACAATTAGTAAGCCACTTCAAGTATCTCCAATGAGAGTCTCTCCACAAAATGATAAACAAACTCAAGACGTTTAGGGTTAAGAGCGCTAGTGGTGTGATAAGCACTGCCGAGAAGAACCAAATGCCCCGCCTCTTTGAGCTAATCCGCTTTAATCTCCACGAGGTCGATGGGAGGAGTATTTCCGGGTTATTGCATAATTAGCGACTGTTTACCAACCTGCAGTCAGCTGATCGCCCATTGTCTTTGTCATCACCGTGGTAATTGCTGCTAATGACAAGCGCAGTTAATGACAATAGTTTATTGCCGTCGATTTCCCCGGTGCTAATAACACGGGTATATGTTTATAGAAGCGATCGCCTGTCAATAGCTGTTCTCATTGCGTCAATTGATCCGAAAACTTGTAAATTCCAATCTGGTACTGAAGTTGATTGGCTCACTTCTCAACCCGGCTCTTTAAATCCTCAAATGTCTATTTCACTGAAACGAACACCTCTGTCAAGTGAAGAGGATTAAAAGTCGTTGAATGACAGTTCCTCGACTGTTTCACAGTCTCTTCATATGTCATAAACTATATCTCCCATCAAATCAAAGAGCTGTCACTATTGTGACAAAAGGTCCATTGCAATCAGCATCGATGTAAATATCAGTAATATTTTCCACACAACTTGCTCTCAATACACGCTCTCTCGCCGAGCGTCTGTCTGCGATGGGGGCTGCCTGACCGCTACTCTGACAGAGGTTGCGTCCCTCCCTAGCCCCTCACCCTCGGAAAGTGATAAGACTTCGGCGTCTGACGAGGTTTTTAACGCTGGAGACATGCGGGTCGTTGCAAATGCTCTTCAATTTGGTAGGAATTATTTGCCCCGTTGGGAAGATCAATGTAACGATCGAATGAATAATAGACGAAATGAAAGAGGCATATCGTGCGGTGTATAAATCTATTAGCGATTAAATGAAGCTGAAACATGGACCCAGCCAATATTACAGAGCAGCTTGTATCAATCATGATCCGGGCTAACGCTAATAGGCGCGCGGGGCAGGGAGGGTGGGCGAAGGATAGTCCCCTTCCCTATACAATCGCAAAGCTGTGTCACTCGAAAAATTAATGGCTCTCCTTCGGTCGTGATAAGCAAATATTGGTAGCCGAGGTGTCAAGAGGGCTGTGGGTCTCCTTGACAGCGAGAATATTGGTATCATTAAACTGAGAGTGGGTTTCCCGCCATCGTACCGATGACAACGCTATCTTGCATGGCTAAGAGCTATCTCTAACCGTTTGCAATTGAACAGGCAGATTGTATATCGCAACTTTACCCAGATGATACAGGGAATGGCCTAGCGTCGCGTCCTTTATTACGGCTTTTCAATAAAGCTATTTATGATTGCAGGCCTGTTTAAATACCAATTTCTGCGTTTGTTTTCAGCGGTTTGTCTGGTTTTGACGAAGTGGACGCGAGCTGCTAATAGTCCTCGCGCCGGTAAAAATTGAGTTTTCGCGGCCTAACTAGCGCCATACGAGATTGCGGCTCCCTTGGGGATAGGCGGATAATTCACGGAATCTCGTCTTGTCAAGTGAGCTAGCAATCAAAATACAACCTCAACGATAGCCGTCGAAGAGAGGACCCCAAAACATTGTTTGGCGTGTTTAGCGATCGGTCGTTAGAGAGCTGGGTGTCGTGAAAGAGAGAACTAAGTACAGTTTATCTGAAACGAATTCAATTATATCCTTACACTACCATCTTCCTTACAACGTCCTCTATAATCAGGATCTGCTTAAGGCAGTGTTCTGGACTTAATATCTCAGTTTTCTGTGACATAATTCACAATGGGAGATGTTTTCAGCAGGAAATTCTAAAATGATTTCTGCCTGTTTCAAATTATTAAAAACACATAATTTACAGGAAGCCACTATATTTTTATCAAATCAAATTGAAATTGTCTAATATGAATAGTAATTACATTTACTTTATTCGGCAATTCATGAACAAAAGAGTGAACACGATATTTTAAGAATTTCTTTTCGATTGCGTTTCATCCTGTGACCAATGAAAGACACAAAGCACTGGAACATTGTATATGTATAATAAAGCACTTGTTATCCTATATGATATTCAGTGTCATATCCTTTAGACGGTCATAATGGAAACAGCTGCTAAGGAATTCCAAAGGCATTGTCGATGACGATTCGGTTCGCTGGAAATCTCGAAACGCTTCACTGGATCTAAAAATGTTGATATGATTGAGTTTTATTTAAATACACGTTAACCACCTACAAATATATCATGATTCCGAATTTGAAATCATACATGTTGACAGTTTGTATGTTGTGTGATAACAATGACCTCACTCCGAGAGTTCCAACAAAGAACATTTCAGATAATGGATCTCCTAACAAAGCACTGACGTTGAGCGAAATATCTGAGGTATATGTGAACGATGGTGATATCTCACCGAGCCCGACGCTGGCTTGAACAGTTCACAAATAGCCCCGGGGGGTACGTCGTGGCAGAATGTTTAATACAGCGCCCGTAACGAGTGTTCCGCCTCTTAAATTCCCCTCCGATCATCAATAGCAAAATACATTTAAAAGACTTTTGCTAATGGCTCAAGTTGGGGCTGACTATCACTGCAAATTAACGAACCAAGAACTTTGTTCAAAACATATTGACATTTATATTACGAGAATACAATTCGTTTTGTGCACACATCAAATGATGAAAGTAGGAACGGCGATCTTAATGTCCACTAAATGTCGCGTTCTTGCGCTGTTCCGGGCGCGTGGCGCACGTGCAGTGATTCATCCAATAATTCTAGCTTCAGTGAAAATCACGAGAAACGCTCTGAGGCCTTGCTCTCTAAAGCACTTCTTTATTAGCCGATAGCCTCGCTATATTTCAGCGATATTATGGCGAGATATCAATTATCCTGGTATAATCAATTCTGGAAGACCGATTAAGAGACCCCGCAAACAGCGTGATAAACGAAAATCTTCATTTTCGCCGAAAATTGGTCCCGCGCGATTAGGGGAATTCTATCGAGTACATTGACAATACTAGCCTGCAATAAGAGAATCGCCTAGGGCCAAACGTTCCATCCATATCGGAGGGCCTGCAATTAAGTGGTTAGAGATGCGCACTGAACATTATTGCTTCAATTGTGAGTGCAATTTGTTCTCTCGCGACTAGCAGTCAACACCCCAACCGTCTAAAGCTCCAATAACGTTTTTTTTTTCGTCCAGGATACAGAAGAAGAGATTACATTTCCTACAGTGCCCCACAGTCTTTGATTAAAAGATGAAATTATTTGATTTGATAATTTATCGTCATCTATTATATTTTGCGATTAACTCCGAGGTCCTTTTTTATGGAAGGTTAAGGTAAACATTGGCATCTTTTAATTAAACATTCTTAATGCAGTTTAAATTTTGATTTTGGGGTTGGTGTTTACTTTTTCCATTTTAAGCGATTTAGGTTAAAATGAATACGGCGTTCAATATTGTATGTGTTCATACTGTGACCGAGCCCTGTGAATTCTTCAATCACAACAGTTAAAACGATTTTTAAGTATAATTAAATATGTATGAATATTTCTATTGATGTGTATTCTCAATCAAAAGTGAAATTTATGATTGGTGAAGTAAATGAGTTTACATTTCACGTCCGTGATTAGCGGTGTTCCATGTTCTTAATATGCAATGGATTTGATAGGCATATATATTGTACATTAACACCGAATATATAACCTTTATTAAACACGTCCGCATATATACGCCTGAGAGTGAAAAAGATGTTTAGATCACTTTCGTGCAGTCATGACACGCATGATCGATAAAGGTGATTGGAGACATCATCACGTTTCATTAACAATTGGAGGACTTAACGCTGCACCTGCGCTCGAAGTGCACGATTTCATTTCCCATTCAGCAAACTTACCCACTTTACGTAAGACCTCCGAATATTGGTTGACAATGACTAGAATGATCTTCCGACCGTTTAATTAACAAAGCAAGTTTTGACTCGTTTCCCCTGATAAATACTCGTTCCGCGACTTATTAGATATGATTAAATATAATATATATTGTTCTCCCAGGTTTGGGTATCAGGACCGATATCTAAACGCTGTCGGTTCATTTAAATATAAGTAAGAGCGAAATTACAGGCACGGTGTCATAGCTACCGACACTACTACTTCAGGCGACGTCACGTGGTGTGATCCGATGTAGTCAGCGTTATAGATCCAACATCGTGTACCTGAGAACCGCGTGTTGTCAATATCTAGTTAACACGGTAGTTGATGTATATTCGATGTTTCATTCCTATTTAATGTACTAGATGGAGGTTTGGATTCTTGTACGGCAGATTATTATATTAATTCTTCAAAGCGTTTTGGTTTAAAAAAAAATGGAACATGCATATAAAAATCGAACGTGATTATCTAATCCTGAAAAAATACTCAATTAATATTTTGAACGATGTGTTCGTTTCATGTGACAAAAATGTATGCTGTTTGTAATAGCTATACCCACCTAGATGACCCCAGCTGCACAGCAGGCGGTAGTTAAAACCAAGTAGTTAAAACGTTTGCTCGTCACGCCGGATATGATGGTTCGATTCCTTACATGGGCTCAATTTGTAAAGCCAATCATTGAAATCCCCCGTGTATGTCTACCAAGGATCTAAACTAACCCAACTCCCGTATCCTGTCAGAGGTAGGGTACGCAACTCAGCTGTGCCGAATAAGGAAACGCTATGCTTATATCCACTCCAAGACAGATCTACCTACTCAGAAAACAGAATACGAAAAAAAGCGAATGCATTTATCTCCATGGAAACGGATCATGTTCGGTTCCAAAAACTTATCCCGTTGAACACATTTCTCTTTTATGGAAGATAGTGTATAAATTTTATCTGTATGCGATCTAAATAACCCGATTGCTGTAACTTGTCAACTCATACCACTTAGCAATGAGATAAAAACGTTTAGTGGGTGAGCCAAATGGGGTTATTCGATGAGAGTTATCTCCCTTGGTAAGTTTAAAAGCGAACTGAAGCGGCGACGGACGTGATGCATATGATCAGATTAGACTTGGCGTGACATTGGTTTATTTACCAGCCTAATCAAATGTGACTTTTTACGTGCACGTGTGCTCTTTTCTCCATCAAGTGTTTCCTCTCGAATAATAAATTTCAGTGGTAACCAGCGTAATGCGGACGATGCGCCTTTTGTCCACAACTGAATCTATGATGAGGAAGGTGATTATTCGCTCACAACTCGCGTCACTGACGAATGACGTCCATCTTGCAACATTCTAAAAAATGCGATGGGCGACGAATGGTAAGTTGTTGAGAACATATTCCCTTGGTCCCTAGTGCTAGGTCCCTAGCATTCCATGCTTCTCTTCTAGATACCCGTGAAGATCCGGGTTAGAATTGATCTTCAGTAACCCATGCTTGTCGTAAGAGGCAACTAACGAGATCGGGTGGTCAGGCTCGCTGACTTGTCTCATGTCATCGTATCACAATTGCGCAGATCGATGTCCATGCTGTTGATCACTGGATTGTCTGGTCCAGACTTGATCATTTACAGTGCGCCGCCATATAGCTGGAATATCGCTGAGTGCGGCGTAAAACTGAACTCACTCACTCACTCAGTTCTCTTCTAGTGGACATTCGGGGACATAATTATGTGTCATTTGATCAAATGTGAATGTATAATGTATTTATATCTCAAATTCGATATATTTATATTTAGAAATCGCCATCAGTATAAGAGATCAGAAAGTGATTTACTGACAAACTAAGGAGTCAGTTAGACTGGGTTTAACGTCGCTCTTAAACAGCATTCCGGTCACGTGACGACATATCAGGTTCAAGTGAGAGGAGAGCCAGAAATGAAACAGGGCCCAGTTCTGCAAAGCGATTTTA